AACTGCTTCCTCTCTCTCGCTTGGCAAAAAGCCACAACTTAAATACTTGGCGTTCGCCAGACAAACTTTGCATAAATAAGTTAACGCTTTATAATTCTGGCCGGAAGTGGAAGTAGAAAATAAGAAGTGATAGTAAAGATTTAAAATAAAATAAACGTTAGTAAAACTTAAGATCCTTACAACATGTCTTTAGTTTCTAATTTCATGATACATTGTCTATAGTATTTAGCAGATGCTTGTTAAGCTGTAAACTATGCAAAAACAAAACACTACTTGAAATCTATATAGTATAGTTCTAAATACAGAAAATATCACTACTGATGGTGAGAAAAAGACAAAGAGGTTGCTACAGATGGAAAACATTTTTATTGACAATTTACTAAGAATTCTGGACTCGGCAATTACCAGAACTTTGTAACTGAACAAGAAATTATATATAGTTACTTAAACAACTTACCATTAAAAAATTCTTAATTAAGCTAAAAATAAGTTGCTTAAGTGTCTGTATATCTAACAAGATATCCAAAAACTTACACAATTTTATTTTTTTTAATCTAATGGTTACTTTTAAGATAAAATATTAACTACCTTGAAATTATCACTAGACAAGCTATTAACATTCAATAATTGCAGTTTTAGTTGATCTCCTTCTTCTGACAGGTACTATTTTACAAACATATTCAGAATGACATAAAACTTATTTTCTCTTCCTCAACAGTACACTCAATATGAACTCTGATACATAAGAAAAGATGCGATTCAATGTGGCTGCTTATTTCTACATTTTTTATGTGGATACTTATTTTGTGGGAGAAGTTGACAAGCCACTTTAAAAAAATAACCTTAACAAAAAGGAAAACCTCACCTTTGTAGAAGAATTTGCAAAGACAGTGGAAGTCAACCGTCTTCAATCAACAGCATAAAAGAATTTGCACTCTTGTAAAGCGAACCCCCAAATACGGAAACAACACATATAAAATGCATTACACGTCCTATGCATCAAAAATTCAAAAGTGGCTATACTACACGGATTGGAGTGACACAGATGAATCACCATAATAATAAATAAATATTACATGTGGTCTTTAAATGGAGGTATATGAACTCTCTTGTTCATGTTTTAAATGCATGTGTATATTTTGAATAATTTTAGATGGTGGTACCTTGAGATACAAGTGCCGAACGGGTTTTTTTAGATAAGAGCAGTCACTGGGTTCAGTTTTTTTACCTAAGTTACAAGTCAAAATTTGAGATACCAGCAGCCTCAGTGACATCACAGCCAGCTGATATGCATTAGACTCGCAAATCTGAGCCACCAATCAGATTTGCAAGTTTTGCACCTGCAAATTGTCTGTGATGTCACCACATCTTAGATATACCCATCATTTCTGTCATGTTGTTTTAATTTTGTATTTTTTGGCACATACAGTTATTTAACTAATTTTTTTTATCCTATAACCAGAAGTCCTATGATTAGAATATGGAAAGAATATTGGCGAGCAAAAAAAAGGTGGTACCCATGGAATTAAAGCACGAGATTATAAACTAACATGAGCAAGATGTAGTGGCAATGCAGCAAATCGTACGATTTCTATGATATGCACTATTATGAAGCAAAAGGATTTGGTAAAGGCTGTAACTCCAGCTTAAGGGCATTTGTAACTCCAGCTTAAGGGCATTAAATTTATTTCAAAATTATGCAACTCTTGTTCCCCGAAAAGATGGAGAATCTCCTATTTTTGTGGTTGACAGAGACGCAACTCGCTGGAGACACTGTAACAGAGACCACAATTTGTGAGAGTCACAGTTTTGCTGCAGCAGAGCAAGGGTACATCAGCAGAGAAGGTTTCACAGGAACTGTTCAAAGAGTCAGGGGTGGTTCAAGAACTGAAAAGGAACCAGGGTTTACTTAATATGTCAGGTATGGTGAGGCAATGAGCTCTGATTGTAAAGCAGAAAAATTTGTAAAATCCTTTGCTGAACTGATCAAAGCCATAGGATATATCGCTCTAACAAGAGTTCAACACAGGGTTCGTAGCTACATTTTAGTTTAAAAAATAAGCAGCTGTTTAATTACATATATACACAACTGCATAACCTAAAAATATAAATGAGATTTAACCATAATTCAAAATCGGAGAAATTCAGTATTTAAAGAGAGAATCAGCATTACTCAACCATCGGAAACAATTATAATTATTTTTTAATTGCAGATAACAGTTCAATTTATAGAACTAGTTTTTAATGAGAGGGGGGGAAAGAACCCTAATCAAAAATAAACTATATACAAGATTTAATGATGAAATATCAGTTTAAGAAAAATAAATAATAATAAACTGTATTTATTATATTCATACAAAGTACTTTACAACATAACAAAGAAACACAAAAAAAGATTTATGCTTATTAATTAGTAATATTACTTCTATTTTTTATTTTTATTTTCTTTCTTGTCATTAATGTCTGAATCCAAATCTCTTAAGAAAGTTTGTTTTTCACAAATAGCTTTTAGCATTTCATTAGATTTATTTAAAAGATTAAAGTCTTTTGTAACTTCAGCCTTTTCAGCAAGTTCATTTGCTTTATTTTCAAGCACTTTAACTTCTCTTTCTAAGAGATTCTTTTTTTTAAGATCTTTTAATTTAATAGGAAAAAGTTTACTTACGATCCATGTGACACTTTAAAGCAGATTCTCTCATACTTGATATGTTGATTTCAGTTTTACACCAGGAACATATGGCCTTGCAATTATTTTCACTTTGTTTAAGCCATTCAGAATATTCTTTCTTAGAAAGCCAATCTGTGTTAAAAACACACCCACCCATTTTAGCTATACTTCAGCATTTACTGCACATATATTATCAATATTTATCGATCGTAATAAACGCGAATATGAACTGACCATGTGGGATTTGGAACTTCTATAGTCTGTGGGTGGGAGGAAAAGTATGTGAAATATACAGGAATTTTCTACCCCTTTCACAACTCTTTGACCAATAGAACGACGTACTCGGCTCTACTTGTCTCTACTCGCGCGAATCAAAGGTTACGTTAATGCCGAGAAAGCTATTTCCAGAAGTATGATTCACAATCTGACGCTCCAGATAAGAAAGAAAAAGTTGTTTATTTAGTTGCGGCTTTGATGCGAGGGGGTAAAGCACTAAAAACAAAAAAATAAGTGCTTTAGAAAAAAGCAAGCACCTATAAGGGCTTTTGTAATTTATTTTCAAATATAAGGACTTACAAGCACTAGTAAGGACCACTATAAACCCTGTCAACTGTAATAAGACAGGGCTCTTCTGGAAAAAAATGACAAGCAAAAGTTACACAACAGCAGAATAAAGATGATGCCAGATCACACTCCCATGAAAGACAAATTTTCTCTCACACTGTGCACAAAAAAATGACAAGCAAAAGTTACATAACAGCAGAAGGAAGATGATGCCAGATCACACTCCCAGGAAAGATAAATTTTCTCACACTGTGCACAAATGTGAGTGGCAACTGCAAGATCAAACAGTGCTTGTATAGCACTCGGAAAAACTGTCTTAATTAATAAGGTTTTAAAAGAGAAGCTACAGGTTATGTGGAAAGCAAGCCTAAAGGTATGGGTCACCAGGAAGTTTTGTGGAAACAGTCAATTTGGTCTGTCAGCCTGCTGTCAAGAAATACTACGAGGTGAATGACTTACCCATACAAGTCCTTCTCTTCCTTGTAAATGTTATTTTCCACCCACCAAACCTTAAGGACTACATCCTCATGAAGATCAGCTTTGTAAAGATTTTTACCTTCCTCCCAACACCAAACCTATCCTACAGGCAATCTCCAATTTCAAGAAACGTTTTACCAAACACATTTCAAAACTGATTTGTGGTTATGAAGAACACAAACCTCACCCTTCAAGAATTCTGGAACGACAGCTACAATACTGTCATATGCCTCAAAATTATTGATATGGCCTGTCAAGGAGTTAGAAAAAGGACTCTGACGCCTGAGATTGCGACTAAAAGGGACTTTCAAGGATTTAGATCTGAACAGGAAGTGCTGGAGGAGACTGTGTATCTTGGAAAGTGGATGAGGAAGATACTAAAAAGCTTGTCGCTGCGCAATCCGAGGAACTGTCTATAGAGAAGTTGACAGAACCACAGACACAGCAAAAAATGGAATTTCTGCAGGAGATTGCAGAGGAAGCAAAAGTGGAAGAGGTTATCTCTTCAAGTGAGATGAAAGAAATGTTGGCAATGTGGGAAAAAGTTCTGAATTTTTTAAAAGGAACACCCTGAAAAGGTTGCAACTGTTCATCCAGTGGGCACTATTTAATGACACTGAGCTTATTTCAGAAGCATTATAAAAAAGAGAAAGAAAAAAGCTCTGAAAAGGTTGCTATTACTCTCAAAAGCTTTCATGAGATTAATTCACCAGTATTAATGTTTGATTTATTAATAATTAACCTACACATGCACCAAGGATGACATGAACAATAACTCTTAAATACCTGTCACAGATTAACCTTTCAAACGATGCAATAAACTACGGTTAAAAAATAATGGTTCCAAGAAAAGTACATTTCAGCAATACATACTAAACATCCTTCTGGTGATTTCTGAATTTATATAGTTTTATGTGTGAATTTACATATATGGTTCATGCTTAAAAATACATTTGATATTTGTTAATTATATCAAGAATTACACATTAAGATTTAAGCAAAAAATAATGTTCAGTAATATTCTTCATGAGACAAAATGACAATTTTGAAGGAAACAGTAACCATATGATTTTCTAGGGCACAGCAGAAGGGTATACAGAGATGGTGCAAGCCATCAAAAAGCAAATAAAACATTTTGCAAAATGCCAACAAATTAGAAATTTTGTTTTCTAAATATGATATGCTACATGTAGTTTATCTAACTGTGAAATTTTTAAAATATACACATAATTTATGCCAAAAAATTATAAAATATTCAAACAAAAACTAGTCAAAACATTAAAAAACTTACCCATCACGTTTTTCACTCTTGTCAGTTTTAGGGGCAGCATTGGTACATCTCTTTTTATTTACCGAATGAACGTATGTACATTGCCTAAATGGTGCACTTTTGTCCTCCAATATGTGGCGTATGCAATAATTATAGCCATCCAATCGAGTTTGGTTGCAAAAGCGATGAATATACCGACAAAATTTTTCTGGTTGATTTGCTTGGCTGCTGTATTTTGCAGGTTTTGGCATTTCTAAAATATAAAAATATTCAAAATAAGCATAACATATTGTAACCATAATCATTTTGAAACATAACGTAAAAACAATGCTAAAAGTTACATTCTTTTAAAAACTGTTAAATCTAATAATAAAAATTGGTCATAACAGTGATGAAGGTTCTAAAACGTTTGTTTCATTACATCATACAACAGTTGACCTTTAAATTATGTGCTTCGAGTTGTGTAATTTCCTTTATTCTAATTAAGTTAAAAGAATTAGTTAAAATTAATAAACAACAACAAATTAAGTACCAATTGGAAAATGAGAACTAAATAAATTAAAGATATTATCTATGCTTGAATTTCACTTTTATAATATCATACTAAGAATAATACAAGTCTGTAAGTAGGATGCATATTATTAAACAAATTTGAGAATAAAATAAACTTTATAAAATTTATCAAGTAGCATAGACTTACAATAGTTGGATATATTTTAATGAAGAATAGTGATGTAGGGGTAGTTTATTTACATTTCACTAACAGCTAGCTTTATGTTGACCTTTTCTTCTATGCCTTGTTTTACCACATATGTGCGTCATCCAGAGGATGAATAAACAGCATGCAGATTTTGCCATAGGTTAAACAGAGAAGTACAATCATAAATCGGCAAGATTCATAAAAAAAGCTTGGCTGTTGTCTCTGCTTCTGCTTTCCTGCAATGAGAGACTAGCTGATCAGAACAGACCTAAATGCATAATGTTGATACAGTTGGTAAATGCTGAAAGTTAGTTATCTCTGTCTGTCTGATGTAGTTAGTATCGTAGCTTCTTGCAGAATTGCTGGAGTTGTAATCCAGTTAATATACTTCAAGGTTCCAATAAGCCAATAAAGCACTATAGATGATAAGACGTTTTGTATCATATTAAGTCTCACTAGCTGCAAGGCATAAAGTTAGACTTTAACTTTTACATTTTATGTTCATCTTGTGTCCACAGTAACAATTAACGAAAGGCAATACCTTGCATTAACATGCAGAGATAACTTTTGGGGTAAGCAATTAATTACACATAATTAAATTAGGTAGTTATGTAAACTTAGTCATTATCGATTTACATGGTCACCATTAGTTTTAATTTTTACTTTTTAAAAATAATGATTAAAATTCAATGTTAAAATCATAAAGAAGAATTTATAAATAATACACAATATTTATGTGTCTTTTTAATTTGAAAACTTCCCAGATATTTTAGCTAATTTATTTTCTTTGCCTTTATGTATTAATTTCTTCCTCAATAAGTTTCTTCTCAACTTAGAATTTTTTGAATTAAAGAGTTATGTTACTCTAAAAAACTGCATGTATTTCGAATGTACAGATGAATCTGCTAATTTTATTTCTTTCATAAGATGAGTATTGAGAATAAATATGAAACGATACATGGTTAGGGCCAGAGTCAAAGAATTTTTAGAATTTTAGAATTTAATAAAGAAAAGCAAAATCTAGGTAAGGCAAAATTTTTAGAATCTAGGGCAGGAACTTAGCAACAGAACTTAGAGGTAGCAAAAATTTTGGAATTTAGGAATTGCAGAGATTGTATCAGGTGGGAAAATGTCCATTGCCAGCCCTGTGCATACTGCATTGAGACATACAACATGAATATTTTAAAATGCAATTTTCAATTTCTTTATTAACAGAAAAATTAATTTCTACACATGTCAGCCCATATGACATGATTAGAACCATTTTTGCAATTTTCTATGCTTGTATCTAGTGAAAAGAAGAGAAAATAAAAAAGAACATAATCATGTAAAGACTTCTAGGATCAGAAGTAGAAAATTCAAATAATTATGTTTTCCACATTCTTCCAAAAATTCTCAAAAAAAATAAGAAATTCATCACAAGCTTCTGCTAAAACATGTCTACTGTGTATTAATACCATAAAGACATTTTTCATTTTGTCACAATTTTCTGGAATCTCCTGGAAGCATAGGTCTATAAATCTTGCCTTCAAATTTTTTGAAACCATCTGAGGTGCAAGCTTTAAAATCCCAAAGAAAAATTATCCCTACAAATTCTGTGACAGCAAAAAGGCAGCTTGTTTTTGAAAAAAATTCAGAGAAGAAAACTGTAAAGTGAAATTTATAGACGAAATATACACATTTGAATAATCTCAGACAATTAAGCAGAGAAAAACTCTTACCATGAAAAACAAAAAAAAAAAAAAAAACTAACAGACGACAAAGTACATTAATTTTAAAATAATTACAACAGCTATTTTGCTTTCACAAAAAAGTGTTTTGGAAGTTATGCTTCACAGCATTTATTACCTTACGTATTTTTCAGATTCAAAATGCTCTGGTTGCCAAAATGAAAAGTAATAAAATGAAAAATAATGTGACTCTGTAATATGACAGAGGAATATAATTTTTTATTTTAATATTTCATAAATATAATTTTAATACATTATCATTATTTTAATGATATTAATCAATGCTATTAAGTTTATTTAAAAAAATCGTCGAAAATTTCATAGATCTCCAAATTAAATCTTAAAATTGCCAAAATGTTGATAAGTAGCAAATTTAGAGAAGTTTAATAAAGGAATTAATATCCCCAAAAAAGAAAAAGCTGTTTTTTGACGTAATATTTTATGAGCTCTTTACTAGCCAAAAGGAAATACAGTACAAAGTCCGCAATTCGGACACGTAGGGGCTTCGGCGATTCCAGATTAGGGGTTTTTCTGGATTATAGATAATCAATTTAAATCTGGTAAGATGGAATGCAGAAATTATACATTTAGAAATATGAAACCGTAATTAATGAAATAAAGAGCAATTATGATCTAAAGGGTATCAAAATTTACAAAAAAAAAGCTTAATACTTATTTGTTTACTTTATGAAACATTTCTTTCAATGTAAGTTGTTTTAAGTTGTTTTGTTTTTTGTACTAATACTTTCTCTTTAATTCTATAAACAGACATAATTTCTTGTTCAGTTACAAAGTTCCACTGTTCAAGGTCCTGTAATTGCGACTAACTTGTCAATCGAAATTTTTTCGTTTTCAATAACCTCTCTGTCACTTTCTTCACTATCAGAAGCATTATTTTCTGGATCTAGAACCATACTACAGATTTCGCCATCCATTAATTGATTGATGATTGGGGCATTGTTGTCGCTATGAAAATCTTCTGTTATATCATCTTCATTTATTACCACTTCTCCACATTTCTTTACAAAATCCAAATAACTGGTAACTCCAATAACAATATAATCCAATAATTATAAAATCCATTAAATGAAATGCCTTAGAATCAGTAAAGATAGTTTTAGCCTGGCTTATACCATCCGTTATACATTAAACATGCATGCGTAAACACATTACGCGCATGCGTAAAGCATTTAAAAAAAAGTTTATGGCTTTGAGGTCCGGATTACGGACTTTGTACTTACTTTCAAAATGTTTATGTTTCACTTCTTGCCCAGAAACTCGAGTACCACACCATTTATATTAAAAGAATGAATGAATTCAAATGATAATTCATCAAATACATACACTCATGTCCATAAATTAAGGATAATTCAGAGTCATGCGGAAATCGAGCTCTAAAATAAATATATCACCTGTAAAATCACTACACACATCTTCAAGAATCATATGCAAATTTCAGGAAGTAACCATATGACACCGATGGTACATCACAATGGCGAGAGTGTAAGAGAGCGATATATAAGGAATACAGGCAAAGAAGTCAAATTGTTCGCAGGCGCTTTATAAGCATTTCAGTGCAATAACCGAATAGTTATGACACAAAGCACGCATTTGAATGATTTTTTACGTGGTAGAATTATCAGCCGTCTGGAATGTGGCCGTACCCAACTGGAAGTATCAGACGAACTTGGAATTGCCCACAATGTCATCTCCAGGCTTTGGCAACGATTCCAAGATGATGATAATGTGAGTAGACGTTACAGCACAGGTCGCCCCAGAGTTACAATGCCGAATGAGGACCAGTATTTGGTGGTTACTGCCAAAAGAAACAGGTGGAGCACAGCCCCAGACCTGTCTCGTCAGCTCTCTTCAGCCACTGGTACGACAATTTCAAGGCAGACCGTGTACAGACGCTTAGGACAGATTGGTCTATATGCTCGTAGACCTGTCAGATGCGTTCCACTGTCGCCTGCGGTTAGCCCGGAGTAGAGAGCATGCATTGTGGACACTGCAACAGTGGGCTTGTGCGATGTTTTCCGACGAGTCCAGGTTTAGCTGGCAGTCTGATTCTCGGAGGACTTTCATATGGAGAGCTCCAGGTACCCGTTACCCAAGGTCCGTAGAAAGAACAGGTTAGCTCACTTGGAGTAAACAAACGAAGAGCCAGCGACTCGTTCGGCTGTGACATCACTGAAGTTCACTGTAGCATCTTAGTTTACTGTATAGAATAAGTTTTAATTACGAAAAGTTCCCTCAGTAATTTATTGTTTCACCAAAAATCTTCCAAACTTCCTTACAGAATTTGCTACTCAAGATTCAGCTGTTTATACCGTTACTCATTTTAGCTTCAACAGACTGAAAACCCACACTTCACAAGAACTGGAAAATATGTAGTGTAGTCAGAGCTTAAATTGTGCCGGCTCTGGTACTTTTCAGTTCATAGGATAAATGATAATTCTAGCCGGAATGGATCGGAGCCCTACATAAGAAGGCTCTGGCACTTCTTTTATGTAATTAACGGAACTACAATTTCAGTAGAAATTTAATCTCAAAAATTTTATTTTTAGCAGCAATAAAATTATATTGAAAATCCCTTATTAAATGTCAATTTACCTCTTTGCATTTTATTGAATTATTTTAATAAATAATAATCAATTATTAATTAATGGTTAGATAATAATTAATAATATTAATTGCTAATATTAATTAAATAATTATTTATTAATTTGATAATAATTAACTATTTAATTTTTAAATGATAAATGATTTTAATAGTCATTTTATTTATTTATTTACTCTTGTTCCTCTTTACTAATGGTCTTC